GCGCGTTGATATCTATTATCCAATCTGATTCAAAATACGGAGAATCCCAACCAATATATCCGTTGTTGGCATCCCCGCTCTCCCCTTCACTGAATATTTCGACCTGATGCCGGCCGCCTCCCCCGCCACCAGCATCAGAATCAGCACCATGTTCATCCACATCTTTGCCACCATCGCAAAAAGAGTAACTATCTCTATTTACTTCTTATAGATTCTGGGCCAGCGGACCACGTAAGCATTGCGAGAGAGAGATGGTAGCAATCATTTAGGCCTCTGACGCCCTGGTGCGAGTTCATTGGTACCCCATTTCCTACGAAGCATAAGGGAGCTTCCATAAATGCAGTAGCAAGCTGGATGCTCTTTCATGAAGCCCGGAAAATTGTTCCTTCTGAGTTTGTAGTGTAGGGTTAAGCTTTATGACGTGTAGACTGCATGTTACTGTTACAGTAGCATACGCCTCTAGAAAGCCTGAAGCCTGTGGCCATCGAAAAACTGTCACCGCCACACGCATGCTCATGCTATTTGAACCATAGTCTAAACTCCTAGTATCCCCCTTAATAACCCTTATACTAGTCCCCTATATAATCCCTTATATAATCCCCCCATCAAGGAGTTTAGACTACAGCTCATTTGAGGCTGCGAGCGGTGTCATTGACATTGAAGGCCAGTAACAAGCAGCTTCAGTCCCTGAGTAACCAACATCTTTAGGGTTAAGGGCTTTTTTCGAAACTCAACCAACATGTTTAGGGCTTTTTTTCGAAACTCAAAGGTGTGCAGGTGAATGACTTTTTGGTACCTTTTGGGCCAGAACTTTGCAGAGTGTAGGGCATGAGAAGATGGGACGACTGGCTTAGCTTAGAAGGAAATTAATCCCAAACCACATATGATGGAGATGAACTGACCTTGGGCGGGTTATTCCAAGCATGCCCATGCGATGGCATCTCCTTGACCAGCAAACAATACAGAGTGTACTTGAAGTTTGGGCAAACGTATGAAGAAGAGCCCCCCCGCCTCTTCCCCAGCTTCACTGTTGCTGTTGCTGCTGCTACGTTCCCTTTCTGAGCATTTTTGAGCAGCCTAAGTATTTGGAGCCGCATCACACTAGGGACCCCAAAAGGGCTATAATTTGGACAGCCCATGATATGTGTTAACAGGTATTAATGTGCTCATGTCATTTTGCTGTATGCGGCATGGTTTCCATACATAGGGGCCTCAATGAACAACCCTTCATTATCATCCTCCTTCTGGGTACCCCCCAAAAAGCGGCACACAATTCTTGGAAATCCTTATCCCGACATTTGTTCTGTCAATATGCGAGCCCTATACAAGCCATCTGAAATATTGCCTTGTAAAACCACTTTTTACAGCACTCGCAAGATTAAACCCTACACCCTAAGCCCTGCAGCCGGAACTTCTTTTCGACTGCTCCAGGAGTTATTCACTAGTCCGCATCCGCCTGACCCGCTTACATGAATCCGGCAAAACTTTGAGGTGTAGGGTTCAAGATTTAGGGTTCAGGATTAGAAGTCTGGGATTTAGACTTCAAGATTTAGGGCTCAGAATTTAGGATTCAGGATTTAGGGTTCAGGGTTTAGGGTTCAAGATTTAGGGCTCTGGATTTGGGGTCCAGGATTTAGAGTTCAAGACTAAGGGTTCAAGAGTTAGGGTTCAGGATTGAGGGTTCAGTGTTTAGGGTTCAAGATTTAGGCTTCAAAGATTTAGGTTTCAGGATTTTGGCTTCAGGATTTGGGCTTCAGGATTTGGGGCTCAGAATTTAGGGTTCGGGATTTAGGATTGCATGTATCTAGTAAAGCAGTCGACTGTCATCCCCTTAGACTACCAATGAACGTCCTATCGTTCATACTTTCGTGGTGGTTGTGCTACAATAAGCAACTAGAAAGATCCCTAAGCCCTAAACCTTAAAGCCCAAACCCCAGAATTCCTACGCGGACAGGAGCCAATGGTTAACGCTTGCCCAAACCGTCCTCCTGCAATCCGCATGTAGTTAGGGGACGAGGTGAACCCTCACTCAACCAAATTCCCTGGTTCCTTTCAAGGGGTGATAGGGGGATTATATAGGGATATTAGGGGACTATAGGACCCAAATAATGAGCCTTTAGGTCCCAAATACCAGTAGTAGCATGATATTTGGGCCCTGGAACCCTATTATTTGAGCCATTGTCTAAACTCCTAGTATCCCCCTTAGTCCCCTATATACTCCCTTATATAACCCCCTCTAAGGGAGTTTAGACTATAGCTCATTTGGGTCCTTGGACCTTTAGAGCTCACTAAGCCATTGCGCTTCGGTTTGAGTGACCACTTCGTTAGGTGTCGAACATCTCCGGTAAGGTCTAGGGTTTAGGGTTTAGGGTTTAGGGTGAAAGTAAGCAGGCGATCTTCTATGCTCAATTTCAACCCAGCTCAAGCATAGCTGAGGCAGTGCTGACGAAGGAGTGGTGAGCTTGGGGACTCGAGTCCTGCATACAATCCAAGAAGGACAGTTTGCCGGGTCCCCAAAGCAATCAGCTAGAAAAAGTACAGTCCGGAACAACAACTGCAGCACAACCATTATTTTCAATAGTCCATTTGGGTAATGTAGGGTAGTAACAGAGAAAAACGAGGCTTAACGGCCTTAGCGCGGTCTGTGTTTTCTCCCTTTGGCTGTCCACTCCGAACTTTTCAGCAGGTAGTAAGAGACTATTGGGTTTAGGGTAAGGCCAGAAACAAAAAAGGAAACGTGATGGAAGAAACATCCCCAGGAATTTTGACCTGATCCACAACCAATATGATCGCCGTTTGCACCGGGGACTAACAGCCACCGTGGAACTTTGTTGGAACCCTTGGAGCCCCTCGTACCTCCCTAGCCCACGAACCTTCAACAATTCAACCCCGAGCCTCTAGATCCAAAATCCGACTGAAACTCTAGAGCCCTACGAATGAGATTCTAGAGCCTTACCTAAACTCTCCAAAGTGGTACCTCTTTCAAGGATCTTTATAAGAACCTTACACGGAAACCATGCCAAACCTAAAACATAACCTAAACCCTAAACCCTCAACCATAACTTCACTGAAGGCCCAGGTAAAATCCACCCGCTCTGAGGTACTGCCGAGGTCCTCACCCGCATCCGGGGCCAAGGTGAAGCGAGGTGCCGCTGAGCGCGTGTGCATGTTACGAGCCTTGCAAGCACGGTTAGGGCTTTAGGGTAGGGAGCCTAGGGTTTAGCTTTAGGGTTGGGTCTTAGCGCGAGCTTCAAGTTTGAGTTTGCAAGTTTGAGGTTCGTGGGTTAAGGGGTGGAGTGAATAGGATTTTGGGATTGACGCTGCTTGTCAGTCATCCTTTTCGCGCATATTAAAATCAACTAGAAACGGATATGACCCATGTGGATTGCTCTTCTGATTAAGGGTTTTGGGATCCATGATAATGAATCTGACACACTGTGGCATACAATGACAACGCTTGTCTACGGGCACTCCATACAAAGCCGCTCATATTGGGAGACCTCCGACGACCTTTGGTGGCTTGAAAAAGATCTAAAAAGCTGAAGCTAATCCTCGTCGCCTAATATGAAAGCCCCACCCACGAGCATCAAGTATTCCCAAAACACATTTTACCATTCCCAACACATATTTTTTACCATTCCCAACACATACTTGTATTTTACCATTCCCAACACAAATTTTACCATTCCCAACACAAATTTTACCATTCCCAACACAAATTTTACCATTCCCAACACAAATTTTACCATTCCCAACATATATTTTACCATTCCCAACACATATTTTACCAGACTGGGAACATTCAATTTCATTGGTGGAGGGGGTGGGGCAGCTCACGCATTCCTTCATCCAAGCATTATCGCCTGAAGGTCCTGACGCCATCCAGGTGTAATGTTCCAACCTTTGCACGAGTTCGGAAAACTGGTTGCTGGGAACACTGGTCCTATCCCTTCCCCTAACAATGACCCCCTCCCCATAGTAGTAATAAGAATGTTCAGAAGAATAATGAGAATAAATGTTCCCTCAATGCTGGTTTTCTTTATTCGGGGTAGGAGGGGCGTGGTAAGGCAATATGGCGCCAGCATCCAAGGTGTAGGGCGCAACATGTCGGAATGTGTCACGACGTGCTGAACCTCAGAACATCTGTCCGCTTTGTTGGAACATCTCAGCTTCTCAGCAAGAGCCCTCTTTTTCACCCGTGCACGATAGGAGTACTAACCACGGGAACTACGACGCCACGAAGTGGCTGTTGAGCTTTTTGGGTCTGCGTCTGAGAAAGAAGAGTCTCACAGTGACCAACTCGGAGGGTTACGGAGATTTGCTGAGTCAAGCTACAACCCAAAAATCTTGAGATCCACTGAGACCCTTGCTGACCTCAACCCTCCACAAGTCCCACATAAATGCCATGATAAACATACCCACTGGCCCAAATCGCTGTTGTTTATTATCATAGGAAACCAACATCCGCAGACCCGTCAACCATGGCACCCCAAGCAGTGCTGCAGAGGGGCCGCCATGATTGACACAACTTGCAATTAATTAGTAATTTTGGTCATACCCCATCGTGCTGGTGCAGAAACAACTCTTGGAACTAAGTTGGCGAGGGCATGGCAGATACATGGGTCCCTTATCCAGTTTACATAGCCCATGTCTAGCTTGTAGTCTGCATTGGTACTTTCCCAAAACAAGGGGACCCCAATACAGACCCCAATACATAGAATCCTTATTATGGGGATCCTCAAAAAAACACCCCGAATTTTGGGAAACACCCATTAAAAGAATGGCCCTTGTTCTGTCATGACCCTGCCTTGCGCTGTACAAGCTGATACTTTGGCGACACGTCTTTCCGAGCCACAGAACGTGTCAGCCGAGAGCTTCCGTGCATGCTTCAAGGAAGCAGTGTACTCATTGCCATCAAGACATCTGAAACAAAGTGCCTAGTGCAGATGCATAGCTCACAGAATTGCACTCTGGAAGATTTTAGCACTGTCATCTAGGATTCAGATGCATTGTTCGGCTTCGCGCATCAGTTGTGGATACAACTGTGGGCACAACGCTGGGCTCCGGCTCCATGACGAGAAAGGTTTTCCTTATCTAGGTTATCCTTAACAACTCTGCTACGACATCAAAGTTCTTGTACGTGATGTATACCACAAAAAGGCCCTACAAACCCAGAAAAACGTGTAAAGTGCTAAAATAGTAAGGGTTTCCGCGTGACCAACTTCTCGCCTGGAACATCCAAGTCTGCATCAAACAGGTTGCAACGTACCATGATGTTCTCACACCTGGGCATTAAAGGTACGGGCCGTTTCAAAAAAGCAAGGACGGCAGAACCTACATGTTGGGTTCTTGTAAATTGCCCAAAAATCACCCCAAACTACCTTCTTGAGAGCCCCTCACCTAGTGATCTTGACGTTGTGCTTTCGAGGTAGCCCACGGACCACCTGCTCGATGGCATCTTTGTAAGACGCATTGAGAATAAGATGGCGAGCTTTGAGCCAGCTCTCGAACCTCAGTCCAGTTTGATTGATGATTGCTGCTACCCCAAACCCTAAACCCCTTAACCCTACACCCCATAACCCAAAACCTAAACCCTGCACCCCATACCCCAAAACCTACACCCTAGACTAGACCCCAAACTCTCAGCAGCGGGGGCGGAGGCGGAGGCGCTGGTGGTGCGGTGGCGGTGGGGATTGGGGGCAATAAAGGCCGCAACTGTGCTGCTCGTGCTGGTGCGGAGGCATCAACACTGTGTCTTGCCCTGAGGGTGCGGAGTCTGCGGTCTGGGAGCTTCGCATATACAATCCCTCGTGCAGGCCATGATCCGCTCATGACCCCGGCGTATCCCTCAGGCCCCAGGGCTCTTGGGGAACCCCTTTTCTGAACTCCCATGTCGCAGTGCTGGCGAGCCACCGCCCGTGATGAAGAAGGTTCCTGACCTGTGCCACTTGATCAGGCATCAAAAACCAGCCAATCGGCAAGCCCCATCCATGTGCCAAGCACTGACCTCAGTGATATGGCAATGCCCCGGAATCAAACCCTTGCAGGGTATACCGAACGAGTATGAACCTGCCTATCTGGAAGCAAATGACCCATGGTTTTCAGTTTTGGGCCTCATCATGGTACACTCAATCTTTACACTCATCAGTATTTTATATACAGTCACCAAACCATACGAAAGACACTACAAGCTAAACCCGCCTTGTTAGCCAGGGAGCACGAATGAAGGCAGGCAGAATTGCTGAAGGCCGTCCAAAGCTCTGCAGGAGAGCGAGAAAGCTCCATGACGAGCACCTGGGTTAATATTAGGGTTATATTGGGGTTGTATGGGGATAATGGAAAAGAAAATGGAAACTACTATAATGGGCTATATAGGGTTTAGGGTTTAGGGTTCAGGGTTTACAGGGGTTAGGCTTCAGGGTCTAGAGCTGTGGGGTTTCTAAAATTGGGTCAAAGGCTTGCATCGTGTAAACAGCTACATAAGCTTACTGGTGCTTGGTAGGGAATATGAGAATAATACTTTAAAATGGGACCTTATCCCATATTCCCTACTAACAACCAGTAAGTAAGAGGGTACGTGTAGGGTCATATAGCGGAAATGGAAGAGAAAATGAAAACTACTACATGATGACTACATTCTTGAGGGCTGTTTAGGGCTGAGGTGAGGTTTTTGGAAAACAAGGTCGAGGGGTTGGGTGAGGGTCATAATCCCTCCCCAACAATACTCCCCCCCTTCAAAAACTCATCTCCCAATATATTAGCACAATATGGCCGGGGGGTACTGGTGATTAGGGGGTAGAGAGCTTTGAGGGGGGATGCTATTTGCAAGAGGATGAGACGCAAAAGGATGCGTAGGCTGCTTAGGGCCCCAACTAGTTTGGTTGTGTCTTTTGGGTCCCGGGTGCAAGGATGTCACTTTTCTGGAGACAAAATGGGATCTCTATCTCTTGAAACACAATCTCTTTGCTCCAGACAGGAGATAATCGTATTCCTGGGGGCTCCAGTATAAACCCCAAAATATTCAAACCCCATTATATACGCGTAGCCCCAAAAAGGGACCCCCCCTTTATTTGGAAACTCGCGTTATCTGCATATGTCCCAGGCACATTGTGCAAGCTTGCAGCACTGGGCTGCTTCCCGAAAACCGTCACGAACGGCCCGGCCGCCAACATACTGGCAGCCAACATCATGTCTGAGGGAAGTTCCATGGACACTTCAATCACATCCTCCGTGATTTCATAACTGGAAACTTCTGTAATCGTAGCAAGCTGCAGGTTGGCAGATGCAGAAGGTGCCACAAGCAACTGATCCTCGTGAGCACACACCAATCGGGCCTCCTTTGGTATCCACCCAACCTGGCCAATGACTTGCGTGAGAAGCACATGGTCAGCCGTCACACGGAACTCACCGCCATCCCACTTGAGGACGGCGAGTTCATGGCTGCCTCCTTGAATTCGGCATGCAGATCTGATGACTGAACCCCCGCTCACGCGGGGGACAAGCCGTTTTTTGGCGTCTGGGAACTGCCGGGCTCGCCATCGCAAGGCTCAGTCTCGAGGACAACCGACTTGACTGCGCCCCCAGAGCCCGCAATGTCTGCTACCCCTTGGGTCCCTGTGTGTGTCAAAACTGCTGAGGTCTGGGTGAAGCAGTGGGGCGCTGGGGACTCAATCTTCTCAAGGCCGTTGCTGATCACAGTGAAGGTCTCCTGCTCCTGGGCGGAAGGATGTGCATCAGAGCCTGCTCCGGCTCCTTGCAACCCGGCAGCCTCTGAGGGGAGGGAAGAGGTCGTGGAAGCAGGCACTGCTGGCGATTCAGCAATGGGCCTCTTGAGAAGACACTTCTTCAGAGTCACGGTCAGGACCCCGCGATCGAGAGTGCACTCCTCCTCTGCTAGCTCAAAGGGACCATCTGGCAAAGGGATCCTTTTTTTGAAAACCCCGAACTGCTGGCGAAGCCCATAGACTGCTCTCACTGAGCCTTCATCAACCAAGGGTAGCTTCTTGATTTGGAGTGTGATTACGCCGCCCTCCGTCTCCCACTTCACATGTTCATGGCGGATGCCCGGGCACTCAACAACTAACCTCCGCACGAGGTACTGTCCGACTTGCTGGTCATAGACCAGAACCTCTGGATTGAAAGACTTGTCATGCGAGAGCACCTCACCTGAGTCGGAGATAACACCTTCGGTCTTGACCTCCAGCTTCTTGCACGACGTGGTGAAGAACCCCACTGGGTACATGGCATCATCCTGCTCTGATTCTGCTTCACCATTCCTGTCTGACTCGTACTGGAGAATCCGATCTACGGAACCTTCCACAAAGAAGAACCGGGGCAGCAAGCCCTCCATGGCGTCACCAAGAAGCTTCGTGAACACAACTTGGTCGGGCAACTTCTTCGTGTGCTCAAGATGTTCTAGTAGCAAACTCAAGTTGCTGCTGTTGAACTGGTCACCGGCCGGAGTGCCATCCTTGCAAATCGCGATGTGATGAACAACCGTCTCTCTGTCATGCTCCTCAGCACCTGGATGAACCCTTTGAGTGCGTCTTGAGTGGTACACCAGCTTGCTTAGATGACTTTCGATGCCATCATACCGTGAGCTGATCTGCCTGCAAAACAGATCCTCTGCCTCTTTCGGATCTGCAGTGTCACACAGGTTGTGGATGACAACTATCTCGCGGACTCCTCGGTGACATGACTGTTCCTTCTCCTGGAACAGCTGCATGTACCTCTGCTCAAAGGAAGTGAAGTCATTGACTACGAAAAGGACGTGGTGAGAGATCTGAGAGAGGAGCTCATGCAAGAAGGCCTCTGTGCTTTGAGCATCCACAACCCTATCCATGCTGTCTGACCTGAAGGAGACCGTTGACTGCACTCCAGGAGAATCGATGATCAGCATTCGGCGTTCTTTGATGTACAGGCATGAGAGGCCTTCCGTGACATTTGTCTTGCCGCAAGGTAGGTTGACGTTGAAGAGCTTGTTCAAAAAGAAGGTCTTTCCCTTGTTAAATAACCCCACTACTGATATGATGCGCACATCATGGACCTCTTCAACGGCAAACTCGGAGCCCCGTCCCTGGATGAGCAGTATGCGCTTGGACTTTGCGAACTCGGCCAGCGACAGCATGCGAACGACGGCATCATATTTTGTGGTTGGCTCTGTGACTGCTGGGCGCGGAACCGGAGCTGTTGGCCAATGGCGCCAAGGAAATACCGGGGCTGGCATCGATGGTTCACCAGGCTGAGCAACGGCTGAAGTTGAGGCTGATTTGCTTGATCCGTGCAGATGGCTGTAGAAGAATGAGCTGTTCTGGTAAGAATGGCACACACGCACACACACACGACGAATGCGCTTTGCTCACAGCTGTTGCGACATGATACTGGCAGCTTGCACAAAGGGCTGGACCCTGCAGCAGCAGTTGGCACCTTCCAGTGCCGGTGCTAAGAATGCGTGAAAGCCGTGGCGGTACTCGATTCGGGCTGCTACATGCGTCTCTCTCCTTCAAGGTACCATTCTGCTTCTGACGTCCGCAGCACAAGATTGGGATTAGACTGTTTTGGGGAGCGTATCCAGCATCGCTACTGCTGAGTAATCTGTTCACAGGTTCATAGCAAGACAGATTCTTGGGCAACACTACCATGGCCTACATCCCTAGCATTCCCAGGAAATCTGCATGATACTGGTATCAAGATTCGGAAAGTTCCAATAGAAGCGAACGGCCGCAAAAGAAAATAACTCTGAGACCGTGCGGCCCAAAGCTTGCAACCCTTCAACCTGCACCCTGCACCAAAGCATCGCCTAAAAGAACATGTCGGGGTTTCCCAAAATTTCTTGGGTGTACCCACAATAGAGTTCTAGCATTTTCAGGTCTCTATATTGGGGTCCCCCTATTTAGGGAAACTACCATGTATGCAATAGACAACACAGGGTCCCTGAGCTTCCAAGTCCGGTGCGCCCACGCAGGCCACAGGTGCACTTGCCACACGCTGGAATCCTGGGCAACTTGGCATGCAATGTTGTCCCTGGAGACAAGACGGGCATCTCATGTCTGGGAACCTAGCAACCAAAGAGGAGGACTGCCTTTAGAGGCTCCTAAGCATCTCCTGGTGTGGCGTTTCCTAGTCTGAATTAGATCGAGATTTTTGGGAGGAACGGATTTCCAGTTCCACAAGGGGTTGGAGAGTTGGCAAGCGCCTTGCTTTTAGCCAACTTAAATTCCGTGGCAAGCGCTCAGGGCCTGCGATGTGGATAGATTTTCCTACCATGTCCCTTCGCACTTCAAACATTCTCACAAAACACCACAACAAGCCACAGCGCCGGTCAAAACTTCAAATACGTGGCCCTGCCACTTACAGCTTTGCCTGCCCCCTGAATGAAGTCCACCTAGCCTTGCGCAACTCTCGCTTTGTCTGCCCGACACATTGTCTCACCCAGGTTGGACAAGTCTATCATAGAATGGGGGGGGGGGCAGGTAGTGATGAAGTGGGAGGAGTTTCTCAACATGGGGGCCCCTAAGGACGCTGACGATGCATAATAATACAGCGGGAGCCAATGTTTGGACGAGACGTTATGCAAAGGTTATCTGGGGAAAGATCACATTTTTGGGAATCGCTGCGGGCTCTTGGTGCACCTTGCAAATTTTGACTTCCGCGCTAAGACCTTCGGCAGCAAAATCGCAAGCAGCGTCGGATCTACCCTCGTACGGCTTACGGCGTAGGGTTTGGCCTTTTGATTCTTCAGATTTAGAGCGTCAACTATGATAGAAAATAGTACCTAAAATGTGGTGGCTGCCACCTCTGCCTGCATGCGTTCACTTTGGTTCTGCTGGGCCAGCACTGGTCAGTGGGGGCATCGCCCTGCACTTGAGGGCCGGACCCCGCAAAGCGTAACAACGCATCACGTCGAGGCTGACTTGGATGATCTCCGAATGTTCGCAACGCCTTCAAAACAGTGAGCTCAGGACTATCCCGTCTTGCGCAAATTGTCCGGACAGCTTTCACTAAGGTCGCGACCTGGCGGCGGCAGCTGCGACCTTCCTGCACTGTTATCTATTCTAAGAGCCTATGCAGAACACACAGGCCTGTCTTCCGAGACATGGCGGTGCCTAAATTGGCTTCCTGCGTGGGCCTTTCTCCATATGACTTCCTTTCTGTTTGTGAGGCTTGGGGTTTGCACTGGTGGCCTGTGGATTTTTGCAGCCGTGACACATATCATCCCCAAAGCTGCGCTCCCAAATCTGGGTATGAACGGGAATGCTGTGCTCCTCTGAGTTGACAAACAAAAACACAAACTCTTGGAAACTGGGAACACAGCACTAAAGGGTCACTCTCCAAACAGCCATCAAGAACAGTCAACGGCAAACCCTGAACCTCAAACTCCTGCTTTGCGGTGCAAAGGTTCCATGGGGGGTCCAAGAATAATCGGTGTTGGTAGTTAAACCGGGGTGGCTGGTGCACCGGAGCAACGTGCTGCCATGATGGCCATGGGTTTCTTTGTTACTGGTTTTCTGGTTGGTCCCTCCATGTAAAAAACGGTTTATATAGGGCTTATATTATATCGGACTATATAGGGTTTATATGGGATCATATAGGCCTTCTATAGGGCTTCTATAGGCTTATATCTCAATTCCCATCTTTGCTTGAAGTATCGAATTGGCTGAGCTGCCTGCACGAGGTTCAAAGAAGCCTGGAGTTCACCAGCCTGGGCTTCTACTTGGAGGGTCAGGGGGACTAAGTAAGTATAGGGTTACTATAGGTTAATAATAACAATAATGGAAAAGGAAACGGAAACTACTATAGTATTTAGGGTTTAGGGTTGAGGGTCAGGGGGACTCAGTAAGTAGGATAGTAGTGGGAAAAAGTAGGGTTACTACATGGGTTATAAGGGTTATTAACCTTCTTACTGAATCTGACTGACCCCTCAAGTAGAGCTTGAGAGACTCGGTGGGAAGAGTTCTTGGGCTCAGGGTGAGACGTAGGCCAGAGACATCTGGTAACGTGTGAATCCTGCTTGGCCTAACATAGCGGTAGTTTCCTGTCTCCTTCCTGAGTGTGCCTGTACAGAATATAGAATCCCTACATAACCCCTAAATGGTGGTTTCCATTTTCTTTGCCATTATCCCCATATAACCCCTATATAATATCAAATGACGGTTGGGTCTGCAAAGTTTGGGATCCTGTGTGGCCCGCTGATATGTTCAGGTCGCACTCATGCTTCCGAACCTGGTTGGCCTTCGGGAGCCCTTTGAAACATGTTAGTACCTAGACCTCCTCCTACCTTCTATTAGGGCCTAAGTACCCATTATTAGGGACCATATATCCCCAATTAAGGGTACAAGGAAGGTCCTGGTATATAGATTCCTTATGAAACCAACGATGGAAAACATCTAGATGGTAGCTTCCCAAATTAGGGGACCCCAGTGTAGAGCCCAAAGTGCTTCAATTATCTTTATTATGGGGACCCGCCCAGAAATTACCCCTAATTTGGGGAAACGATGACCAACCCAGCTAAATACGACTCAGCGCGCACATTGCAGGCCCAAAATCCTACTACCATACCCACGCGGTTCTTGACTTCGGCTTATGGGGTGAGAGTTTAGGGTTTAAGGGTTTAGGGTGTAGAGGGTCTTCTATGTGTCTGGACTTCAAACATGACCCTTGATGTCGCAAACTTTTTCAGAACTCTCCCCTAAACCCTAAACCCTAAAACCCAAACCCTAAATGCTAAAACCTAAGCCCTAAACCCTATTGATCTCTGAAATCCCCATGCAGACTGCGGATTGAACGCCAGAGTCGCCCATCTTTTTGATGCTATCAAGACTACTGGCACCCTGAAACACCCACAACAAATGAGCTGTGGAACATACTTAGGAGCCGTAAGCGCTACGTAAAGGCTCTGACGTAGTTGGTTTTTGGTGTTTGGGATCCGGGTTTGTAGATGCGTCCGCAAAGTTCTGCAAGCTGGCGACATGCCTGATGGCCTGCTCACGACAATCTCGATCTTGCTGTAATACGGTGCCAGGCATATGGAACTATATATGAAGCCCTATTCGACCGCCCTTAAACTACCATTGGTAATTGTCAAAACCATGATCTGGCTTGGTCGAACGGAGCACTCACAATAGATCAAAGCAAAGACTCTCTGCGCTAAACACGGCACCCGCTATGTTGGTGATTGAGCAGAACATGTAAACTTGATGACAACACGTACGTTCTTAGCATCCCTCTCCCAATACAAGTTCATCCCTACAAGCATCATCCACTATAATATACTATAATATACTAGTATATCCTACAATATACAATAAGATTCTATTAGACTATAATATACCATAAAACACTATAACATACTATATGTACCACCACCCCTATATAACCAATTATAGCAATTTCCATATTATCTTCCATCATCCCAATATAACCCCAACATAACTCATATGCTTCCGCTGAAGGGTTTAAAGAAGCCCTAGCTCGAGCTCCCGACAGGAAAGCTGCGTAGATGCTGCTTGCAAAGCACGTAAGAACCTTGATGCTTGGAGGGTCAGGGGGACTTAGTAAATAGGTTGATAAGCCGTATAACCCAGATAGTAACCCCACTTATCCCTATCATTAACCTACTTACTAAGTCCCCCACGACCCTCCAAGTGATGACTTTGGGAATTGGTCTGAGGCCACGGTGTAGGCTTAGGGTTCAGCAAAGGCTTGCATTATGTGAGCTATAGTCTACCTCCTGGTATACCCCTCAATAACCGCTACAATACTTCCCATTAATCCCATATGAGTAATTTTTTTGGTGGTTGAACCTAGTAAGATCATATTCCGTATATAGAATACTATACCCAAAAGGAGGATAGAATCTTACTCTATATTGGGTACCATAGTATCCCCAAATCAAGTACTACTCATATATAACCCCCTTCAAAGAGTTCAGATTATGGCTGATGTGAAGTCAGGGTTCTAGATGGCCTCTTAGGGAAAACGGTGCTGGCGCAGTAGTGTACATGACTTTTTCGGAGTTGCGGCCTGTCGAGATTCAAGGGTTTACGGTTTAGGATTGAAGGTTTAGGGTCTAGGGTTTAGGATTTAAGTTTAAAGGGATTCAGGGTTGTTGGCGTTTGGGCTGCGGGGTTTGAAGGTCGTAGGTAGAATTTCGAAGATTTTGCAGGGCGTTCACCGTCGACGGCAGTAATTAGCAGCATAACCGTTTGTTACTACTCCCCTATATAA